TCACAGAATTTACAGAAAATATTACATTTTTGTGATTTATATCGTTGTCAGGACGATAAATGTCTTATATCGGGATATGAGATTTTTGTCATATCGCACAGCCCTAATGTACTGTACTTTAAAGTTCCTAATTTGTGCAGTATAAAGTTCCAACAAAGTAATAAATGAGAAGTGGCTGAAATACATAAACCATTATTTACCTCTTGACAGTCGGTAAGTATGATGACCTTTGAAGTAAGGTGGTTTTGTTATTTGATTAATTTATACAGTATGGGCACTGTCACTGTTGATTGTAGTTTGAAGACCTGATGTCTCATTGATAATTAGCTGCAGATCAGCTCAGCTGTGAGCTCTAAAAACCAACTTGGGAGGAGGGGGGAGTTCCTGTTCCCCCACCATCAGAAACATACTGGTCAAGTCTGCAGTCATTGTGCCCTTGATTAATGCTCTGGCAAATGACTAATGCATTAAAAAAAACAAAGTCTAGCAAGTACTTTAAGGCACCATATATTTATACTGCACAAATAAGAAACTCCAAAGTTCAAGCAAAGTAGTAAATGTGAAGTGGCTGAAATACATAAACCATTATTTACCTAATGATAGTCACAGTAAGGTGTCATTTCTTTAATTTCACTAGTTTTTTATGCATAAACATGCAAATTCAGTAGTTATCTTATTGTGTATTCATCTGCATGAATTTCCAACAGACAAAGTATAGCAAATTAAACGCCTAAATGCACATTTTGAACATTTTCTTTTCACTATCCTAAAATGTTACGGAACAAGTACATGGGAAAAAACCCACTCTTTCTGCCTGCCATGTCTCACCAAGTTCAAGCTTGAACTGCCTATCCTTGTACAGCACATCATTAGAGCCAGAACAGTCAGGGTCCACATGAAGGCTTTTGCACGAAGCCAGCTCAGTTCAAGGACATGCTGAGGCCAACTGTCCATCATACAGATAAACATGTCCCAAAGCCTTCCTCACCAGCCTCCTTTTAAGGCCCTTTTTTGACTATATTAGATAGCTAGACATTCAGCAAGATTGCTTAAAAAGCAGTTCTAGATCGCAATAAACAGGAAATAAACAGGCAATGGTTTAAGGTCACATTGTTAAACAAACCTGAAAGTGGGTACATGTACGTGCAAGCATTTTTTTTACTGTCCATGGAAAAACCCTTTGCAATAAGACTAATGCCAAGGTGTGTATGAAAATCATCCTTTGATACTAGTACGTACTAGAAAGGCATCCTGTCTGATTGGCATGATTTCTTATACATAAGGGATCACTCCGTGTTATTACAAAAGCGAAAGCAAGCTCACACATGCATCAGTGGTTGCAAGAAAATCATGCACAACTGCACACAGTGCATTCTGTCTCCCATTTCAAAATGAGGACGCCGCTGTTTGAAGGAAAAAAAAGACAGATTTTTTGAAAAGCCCGACAGTACACAAATAACTCATGATGTTGTTTTATACTGATCCCGGGTTAATCCGTTGTTAAACATTAAAGTACTCTGGCTGAATGGGTCTTCTAAATATTAGAGATGTAGAGATCTGACCAGGCAATGATTTACTGAAGCAGATAAACAATAAAGGCTTCTGTCAATTTTGAAATGTTCTGCATACAAGTTCTTATCCTGAAAGCAGGCTCCTTAGAAATTACAGAAAATTGTGCTCTCATTTTTTTTTTTAAATATTTATCATGTACAGACCTCTGACAAAATAAAGGAAATAATCTGTTACGCTATAGGGGTAATTTTTGGCAAGGTTTTGATCCACCTCTCCCATAAGAGCTGAAGCCTAAACACAAACCAAATTTCTGACTAATTAACATTATCCTGAGGAAATAATTCAATTCCCCCACAGCACAACTCAATGAATGGTTTGGGGAGTATGACATGAGGAGATCAGATCGTCAGATCTCAATCCATTTTAGCACCTGTGGGAGATTTTGTACTAAGATGACAGTGAAGACACTGTATAGACAGTGTTAATCACAAATACTAGACATACTTTAAAACAAAGTTGCTCCATCTTTAAAGCAGAAATCCAGAGACTTGGAACACTAAACCTGCACTAAACCTCTTCCTGCAGAATGTGGTGCCCCTTAGCAAGACACTTTCAGTTTCCCTTAATTTACCACCCCCATTCTCTCTGTGTGTATACGTTCTAAAGTACTGATGCAAGTTACAAAAGGTCACATCCATCAGTGCTCTTTGAAACCTCTAATGCTTTTTTCTTCCCTTCAGCTGATGTATTGTGTTGAGTAAGTGCATCACGGTGTCTCTTGCTGAACAAGACAAGCTATTTCCTGAAACGAGTCTATTTCACAGTTTGTGGTTCCTATGCTTTAATATGATGCAAGACAGTGACTGCAGAAAATACAGACAAAACGACAAAAAAAAAAACATTTGCAGATTCAGTAGACTACATTTCAGACATATAATAGTCAACATAAAAGCTGAAAGCTTAAGTATTGTTACTATGTATACTAACCATAAAGATGTATGTCGGTCTACAGCAGTAAGAACCTAGTAAGTTTTCGACATTCAATCAGCGTTGGTAAAATGTGATCAACAACAGTATTCTTCATATACTGCATTTTATATGTAAGCCTTTACCATGTAGCTCCATGCAAGACATTATGTAACCATCCGTGTCACCCTGACAACATGAGGCTTGTCCAGCAGCGTCTTGCAGGAGCACTGGGAAGTGACCATGATTCATTAAAAGTACCACTGAAACCATTTCTTCCTTGATATCAATGCCGAACTGATTAAAATGTTATCTCTCTATTAAAAATCATTTAAAATGGAATGTAACAACATGTTCCAATTCGTGAGTAAGAACAAACATTTAATTGTCAGATGCTTGAAGGGAGTTCTCTGTTACCCTTCTTTAAAGACTCATAAACTAAAGATTCCCACGTGGCAAACTGACAGCTGGAAGGTGACTTGTCATCTGACCACCAGCAGTAATGTTGCCGAGCAGGAAGAAGGCTCACCTGACCAGCCGCACCTCGAAGACCCCAGCAGGTAACTTTCTACTTCTCGCCAGGAAAAGAGAATAAAAGAAAAACAGAAATTCATATTTACCTTTTTTTCCCCGCCCGCTGCTGGAAACCTCCAAGGTATTTATCCTTATTCAACTCATTTCAGTTAAACAGTGTGGCTTGAATTACAAAACAGCAACAGTTGTGCACATCGATTGCAATTTCTGGCTCTGACACACTTCCTCCTCCTCCTCTCCCTTTTAGCATCAAATATCAGCTATGACACAACAAAGCGGCTTATGTGCTTTTCAAAATAAAAGCTCTTCCGAGGACCGCGTGCACTGTCCATCTGCACATTAGAGGAGAATGAAATACATAACCTGAAAAAAAAAAACATGGGTATTTTGAAACATATTTTTACAGAGGTTATCTGCATTTCTGTAAGTTGACTGCAACGTGTAGACTATGTATGTCTTTTTTTCTTTTCTTATTTTTTAAAGACAAATCTTTGGTCTTTTTTATGAACTCAGTATTTTAACAAATATAATTATCCGAAAACCGGAGTAGCAGTATACTTTTTGTAAAATAAAGGCTGTTCAATTTACAAGTTTACAATTTTACTTTATCAAAAATAATGCGTATTTTCCGGTAGAGTATTACCGTAGCTAACTTAACTGGTCTGATTAATCACTGCCATACCCAAGAAGAACATACCTGACATTTGTGATATCAAACTAACAGCCTGTTTTAAAGTATTTGTCTTCAGCAGTGAAACATATTGAATGTCATTTTACATTCGTTTTGTTCGTGTCACACACCCCGAAATTACCCCACTAAAATAAAATGTGGTTATGGCTGTGGTTAAGTGTGTCAAAAAACATTTGTTGAAATGCCTTCAGATAACAGCAAAATGTATGTGCAGATATGTTCAGGTGAAGATGCATTCATCTTACCGATACAGTAGGCTATAGCCACCATTAAAATAAAAATAATAATTTTTATTGGCTATAGGCTCATGGCTAGGCAGCTTTTTGTGGATCTTAAACTAATCCTTCCCTCAAACAGCTGTTTGCTCTCATAATTCTCATTAACCTTGGCACATTTAATCCGTCCCTCGTCCACCCCCGAGTAACTGACGTCGTTGCCCATTGTGGATTTCTCTGAGCTAAAAAGAAAAAAAAAACTGCACACTTCTCATATGACTACTTTGTTCATTTACTCGTTTCATATGAACTGAATCGTTTTACCTTTTTAAAATCACAGTCATAACAGTCTCACGTTTAACTGCTATTTAATTGGCATAATGTAGTTATTCAACAAAGACGAAATATTAACATTAAGTGGGGGCGATCGTGGCTCAAGAGTTGGCAGTTCGTCTTGTGATCGGAAGGTTGCCGGTTCGAGCCCCGGCTCGGACAGT